TATATTGATTAACGCGAGATTATTTCTCTCGCATTCTCTCTCTCTCTTTTAATACACGTATTTTCTTCGTATCTCTGTCTGTTCTCTGAAAACATTAGCGACTCGTGATTGCTTAATGGCAAATAACTGATAGCACGTCTTGGCCGTGCATACTTCAGGTCGTTGGAACTTGACTGTAGTTTGCCGTCGCGGTGACTTCCAAATTCTACTCACGCGGCATTAACAACAAACTTTCGTCCCCCGGAAGAAGAAGCGGTACGGTTTGTCTATCTTCTAGAGAGGTAGACTTTACCGAGGCTTGCTTCGTTCTAGACGTACTTGGCGCATTAACCGAAACACTACGAGACTGGATTAGAATTTGTCAGAGCTGTCGCGCAATAACTTCGTCCGAGGAAATGCTCCGAGTTTTGCCTTAAGAAGTTTACCCTCGTCTCGCGATAAATTGAAACTAATTTACACCGTGCATAATGAAGTTTTTGAAGTGCGTATCTCAGAACCTCTCTGAACCGGACGGGCAGAATGTCGAGAGAAAAATTTGTGATCTTGAGAAGTTGGATGTGCCGTGCTCGCGAACGAAGTGAAGTACCAACGACCGGCTCTGCTCGTCCAAATGAAATATTATTCGATGGCAAAGTTAATAAATTACGAACTTGGTAAATAATTAAGAGTCAGAGTTGATTAACCTTTCACACGGTGGATCTCGAGGATTAAAGCGATCCTAAATATAATATGCAGGCATAATTTTCTGTTTACCCATGTATCATTCCATAATTTACATTACGTTGATTGTGAACAATAACGACGTATTATGGAAATTAAGTACAATAATTGCGTACTAATGAGAATAATCGGATTTGCGGCGGTTGTTACTTTGGTAATTTACTTTTGATAATTCATAAGCGGGCTTGTATGGCGTGCGAGGTTAATCAACTTCAGCGTTTATTTTGTTGCGCTCGATCATCGTGATTATTAAACCGGAACACTATTAGCCGAACATAATACTTTAAACAGTATGGAAAAAGAAAACAAAGGTCCTTTTCCTGATTCTTTTCTCTAACTTATCTTTTATTCACTCTTGTAGCGCACACGTCGATCGCGAATTCTCCAAATTGACAGTTTTACGAGCGCGTTAAGTTTCTTATTTTTGTTCCTTTCAAAGCCGAAGCTGGAAAGAGCTTTTCTTCGTCGTCCCACATTGCTCGACGACTGTGAGCCCGACTTTCACTTCTTCTTAATTCGATTCGATTTTCGCTACGGCGAGGAGCGTGGGATTCGTATAACAGAGTTACTTTTGCGATTTCTTTCCAACCTTTAAGTCGAGCACGACTCGAGGAAGCTGCCTTTCGGCAGTTTCTTTCATTCCCGAAAAAGAAAACCAAGTCGGCTTTTGAAGCGACAACTTTGTGCAGAAAAACGTGACAGCGTGATATATTCTGTGTCGTGAGTTCGATTCGATAATAGTAAAAGATAAAAAAGCAACGCCAAGTATATGAAAAACGTATCCAAACACGTATACAGCGAAAAGGGCGATAAAATCTAAAGAAAACATATTAAACATATGATGTTAAAAAAACATTTTGCTGAAAATTAAATGAGATCAATACAATTAGTCACGTATATAATTCTGCAGAAAAATTTACAAATTAATTCAAGTATATATATAGCAAAACTTTGATAAAAATTCCAACAGAAAAATTATAAAAATTTAAGGAGAACTAATGAATTTTGCTAAACAGTAGATAAGATCAATGTATATCATTTTGTAGAGAAATTAAAGAATTAATTGAAACATACATATACGGTAAAAATAAAAAATATCTAACAGAAATATTATATAAGAACATAAAGAAAAATAATAAATAATAAATATTTGGCGGTACACAAATTTGCAAAGTTTCTTTTTTTTTCAAAATATATTTCGCACTTCTAACATTTGCACAATATTAAGAGTAAGAAGAATAGTCTACTACGCGAGTAATAAAAGTTAATATAAACTAAGACCAACATTTTTAATTGTTATTCATGCAACTTGTTGAGAAAATTCTAAAAGTTTTTTCCTTGCAAAATACATTTTGTATTCCTAATGTTTGCACAATATTAGGAATAACGAGAGTACTACAATTAGTCACATATATAATTCTGTAGAAAAATTTACAAATTAATTCAAATATATATATAGCAAAACTTTGATAAAAATTCCAACAGAAAAATTATAAAAATTTAAGGAGAACTAATGAATTTTGCTAAACAGTAGATAAGATCAATGTATATCATTTTGTAGAGAAATTAAAGAATTAATTGAAACATACATATACGGTAAAAATAAAAAATATCTAACAGAAATATTATATAAGAACATAAAGAAAAATAATAAATAATAAATATTTGGCGGTACACAAATTTGCAAAGTTTCTTTTTTTTTCAAAATATATTTCGCACTTCTAACATTTGCACAATATTAAGAGTAAGGAGAATAGTCTACTACGCGAGTAATAAAAGTTAATATAAACTAAGACCAACATTTTTAATTGTTATTCATGCAACTTGTTGAGAAAATTCTAAAAGTTTTTTCCTTGCAAAATACATTTTGTATTCCTAATGTTTGCACAATATTAGGAATAACGAGAGTACTACAATTAGTCACATATATAATTCTGTAGAAAAATTTACAAATTAATTCAAATATATATATAGCAAAACTTTGATAAAAATTCCAACAGAAAAATTATAAAAATTTAAGGAGAACTAATGAATTTTGCTAAACAGTAGATAAGATCAATGTATATCATTTTGTAGAGAAATTAAAGAATTAATTGAAACATACATATACGGTAAAAATAAAAAAAATCTAACAGAAATATTATATAAGAACATAAAGAAAAATAATAAATAATAAATATTTGACGGTACACAAATTTGCAAAGTTTCTTTTTTTTTCAAAATATATTTCGCACTTCTAACATTTGCACAATATTAAGAGTAAGGAGAATAGTCTACTACGCGAGTAATAAAAGTTAATATAAACTAAGACCAACATTTTTAATTGTTATTCATGCAACTTGTTGAGAAAATTCTAAAAGTTTTTTCCTTGCAAAATACATTTTGTATTCCTAATGTTTGCACAATGTTAGGAATAACGAGAGTACTACTGAATGTTAGGAATAACGCGAGTAATATGACAATGCAAGATAATATTAACATTTTTAATTATTATTTACGCGACTTGTTGAGATAATTTTGGAGTTCCAGAGTTTGAATGGGTCGACAATTTATCGACAATTGCGTTTTCCTAGTCGGAGTCTTTAAATATTTACTCTAATATCACATTAACTGAAATGACCTCGGGTGAAAGGGTGGCGCCTCGTAAACAGGAACTACCATTAGACTAGAGGAGATAACACAGGCGCGTAGGCAGGGGCGCTTTTACGGAGTTTTGCGGGACGAGAGAAATTTTGTCGAAATAGTGTGCGAGATTAAAACTGACGAAAAAATGCATGCGGAGCTTAAAGAAATATTAAAAATAAATCGAATGTGACTCTTATCGGAATTAATATGAATAAAGAAAAATACTGAGAGGAGAAGTGCGATTATTAGCAACTTTAACGATTCACTCGTTTCCGTAATGTTTCCGCGTAGGAAATGAATGGAGAGAATTGCGGGTCTCCAACCTCAGCGAATTTGAGACTTGTTGAAATACGAGTCGAGATCGCTCTGAGAGAGAATCCTGCTTACGCCCTTGGAACCCATAAGATAACAATGCAGCTGGTGTAGAGCCAAGCTGCATAACCGTTTTCATAGTCAGGAGATTTTGCGTTTTACGATAATGCTCTCGTGTCAAACATACGCCGTTACCTCTGGCGTTTAATGCGTTTACTCGAAAATTTTCGCGGCGACGTGGGTAGGCGGAACGTCGCGATTTACTTCGAGCATTACAAATGTTTTTTACGGTATTGTATTCTGCACTGAGCGGGTCACAAAGACCATGAAGCCCACCTTCGAGGCCGGCACCTCGGCGACGTCGAAATATTATACTCGCCGGATTTTACGGGCCGCGTGTTTTAAAACTCGTGTGTTTAATTATTCCCGCGAAATGTAAACCATCCAGATTATGGGCGAACCGCTTTGCCTGGCTTTAAAATTACGAAGAAGATATGATTATCCTTCCTAATGGTTACGCCGAGACTCGTTAACGTAATAGCGTAACGGTCGCTCGGGGCGTAACTTTACGCCAAATGTGTATAAAAGTTCATTCCCACCTAAATGCGAAGTGACGTAAGAACGCAGAATTTACTGTTTATTTAGATCACGTGGAGTTTCCGCACCGATACACCTAAAGTATCTTCACTAACACATGATTTAACGATTATACAGACCTACAAAGATCAGTTACAAAAATCAGTGTAAGTGAATCTTATGAATTTTTGGATGCTGAAAATTAATCTGTCCTCTAAATGATTCTATCACGTCAGGTATTTGAATGATTAAAATGAGAAAAAATATATAGAAACTTCAAAAAACTATTATTTTGGTCATTTTTGACGGTCTGTTATTAAATTTATGAGATATTGAAATCAATATAGATGATTCTTGTAGATTTTTGAATGCTCAAAACAGATTTGTCTTCCAAATTAGCTTATCATTATGTCAGATTTTTTAGTAACTGTTAGCTGAAACTTTTAATATAAGGTTAGGTTTTTTGATGTTCCAGCTAATGCTTACTAAAAAAACTAAGCTGATAGGCTAATTTGGAGAACGGATTCGTTTTCAGCATAAAAAAAATCTATAAGAAATCGATCCATTTATCCATTTGTTCTTAAATGTTTATTTGTTCTGTAAATTTCAGAAAGTCAAATTTCGTAAATCTGTATTATTTGAAAATCATAAAATCTTGATTGTACGTTGAATCTTACTACCAGCAATATTTTATTAGACAAGTGTTTAAACAATTAACTTAGCAGATACAAGGGATGCCGAGCAAAAATCGATTTTGAGTAGCTTACCTTGCCATTTCTTCGAGGAATCGACTCGCAGGGTCCCTTCGCTCTGAATTTGGTCCTTCCCGTTAGTAACACGACAGGTATAAAAACCAACGTCGGAAACGTCCAAATTTGTTATTTTCAATCGACTTCCCGCCACGTTCTTCGCCGCGTGTTCGTGCGTCTGAAATAACAGAACAAAAATTTTTGTGTTCGCTAAATTACAACTTGGGAAAGCTGTTAATAATAAAAAATGAGCCGTTAAAAGCAGGAATTTATACTCAGAATTATTGTATTCAGAACGAAAATAAAATCGATTTATTTAAAGATAGAGATGAAAAAAAAGAGGTCAACAAATATTAATTCTGAAAAAAGTATACAATCTTTCTCTCTTGCTCTTTCATAAAACAACTTGCAGACGCAATTATAAATTATTGCTAATTTCACCTTCCTAGATCCTAAATATTAGAATCCTAAATATTAAAATTTCTTACATAAATCTTAAGGGGATGCTGAAGTCAATGACAAATGTCGAAAAATGTCGATAACGCAGAGACGATCGTCAATATCACGCTATTCTCTTCGTGTTTCTTGTACATATAGAACTTGCATAAATATGCGTTGCTTTATTTTGCCATATTCAGCAATATTTTTGTCTCATTTTTATCACATATTGAGCAATGCTTTTATTTATTTTTGCATACGTTTTTATTGTGTAAAAGCATTTGTAATTCTGTACAACTAATACAACAATGCAGAAAAATTCTGTATTCTGTCGGTAAAGTTCTCAGTTTCAGCATTCCCTTAAACTTGGGTGAAACCGAACGTATTTTCATTTGCTCATAACTTCCGGAGAAATGATCGAAATTCAATCCTCTTATTTTAACTGGTGTAAAAAACTTCGAGGAATATGAATCTTGATGCTTTCGCGATTTAATGAAATCGAGTAAAGTTTTAATGAAAAAATAAACACATGTTGTGAAGAGACCAGACCAATATAATGTTTTGAAAAAAAAACCTATTTAATTAATTTTGCGTAATTAATTTTGCAGAAATTAATTTTGCGAAAATGGATCAACCGAATATTTTGAAACAATAATAATAATTAAGTTACTGTTAAACTTTTCTCTTTATATTACAATTTTTGTTATTTAGGACAACCTATAAATAAATATGAGGTATGTGGTCGAAGAACTCACGATTGCAAAAAATATCGTTGCAATCGACGGGAAAAATAGCGCCAGTTTTTGAGATAAAAAACCAAAAAGTTTTTTATGTATGTTTAATAATTACTTAATTAATGTATAATGTTTTAAAACATTTGGTTGACCCATTTTCGCAAAATTAATTCCAAAAAATATTTTTTCAGAGCGTTACATTGATCTTGTCCCTTAAAGGGGCTGGAGGGTCAGATTGCCTGAAAATCATGCTTGTTTTTTCACCATTTTTTATGACGAACTGAATGAATATGCGAAAGTGTTATTTTGACGTGTATTTATACAATATATGAAGAGAAGAAAAATATAATTTTGATGAACAAATACTCAATATAAGTGTATGGTACATGCAGTTAAAATATATTTCGGTTTTTTTTCAGGGTCGTCATTTTGCAGTAATATTTTGATTCTCGGTGGTTCAATTAAGCTGAGTTTTAGGTAGAAAAACTATCAGATGAACCACTGACAAACTCGTGAAAATATTTAATTTTGAAATATTAATTTTTTTTGCTATAAAAGAACTGAAAGTTTTAGTAATATTCCATTAAGATATTTGCAAGTTTGTTAACTTTTACTTAACTTCTATTATAGTGGTTCACCCGATAACGACAAGCTTACGGAAATTTTCTATTTAAAATTCAGCTTAATTGAACCACTGAGAGTCAAGACATTACTGCAAAATGACGATCTAAATGACGATCGAAAAGAAAAACGATATATATTTTAATTGTACCATACACTTATATTGAGTATTTGATCATCAAAATAATATTTTTCTTCTCTTTATATGTTGAATAAATATACGTCAAAATAACACTTTTGCATATTCGTTCAGTCTGTCATAAAAAATTGTGAAAAACAAGCACGATTTTCAGGCAATCTGACCCTCCAGTCCCCTTAAGAACAGCCACGTTCTAAGAGTTAGGGCAAATTTCACTCATGTTCAGGAGTTCTAAAGTTAATAATTTCGCTCACTTGCGCATGTATTTTCCTGATGGTGATTTTTGGCCGGTCCTCTTCTAATGGCGCCTCGTTCTTAAACCATCGTATTTTCGTTGGAGGTGGATCGCCCACGACTTCACATCGCATATGGGCGACGCCGCCCGCGTCTTTCGATATGTTTGTCAAGGTCCTCACGAATTTCAAAGTGCCACTTTTCGTACCAGACGCAGCGTCCACATCGGTCCTGCGAAAAGTAATAAAACGTACTCTTGAGTTTGTGGTCGCGCGGGATAAAATATAAACATATACACATAACGTAACAAAAGTATATACGAGCGATTTCCAAGAGATATCTATATCTGTGTAGAGAATCACCCATATTTTCAGACAGATACGCGAAGCAATGATTTAACGAAATTGTCATTCGATATTTTTACGTCAATCTCGATCATATTTCCTGACGCGGCGATACATCGGATCCTTATGCATGTGTGTTCTTACATTAAATATTACGCATTTGGGAATCCCCCCTCGTGCGCGAATCGATCGTACTTGTAATCCCACCTGCGGTCTAGATAACAATGTAACTTTGCAACGAGGGATCATTAAGGGATACGAACTTTATCGCCTGTGCTCTACGCGAGCCTTGTTACGTTTGCAAAGTACTTTCCCGTTCTTCCAATATAATTGGCCGAGCTAATTCTACCGGATTACATCCTTACTAAACCGCGACGTGTGCAAATTCCAAGTTCCAAGATACTTACCGTCTGATATCTATAAAATGTTACTTAGACATTCCACCTTTTAAAGCTTAACCTACAATGTGCTCTTTACTTCCTGTTTCTTGCTCTCTGTCTCTTTAGGCTTAAGGTTTGAGTCAGAAAAAGATAAAGAGAAGGAAGCAAGGAGCACATTGTAGATGAAGCTTTACTGAATTTCGCAAAATCGCACCATACTCTCGCATATCGGTGTATTGACGTCTCCGACGCGATTATGTACAGTACATCCACGCGACGATCGTAAAGCGAGACTCTGCCTAGGCATCTGCTCGGCCGCCACCCAGTGTTGCGGTGGCGACAATGTGCTTCGGAGACGTGACTGTCGCAATCAATTGCTGCTTCCGGCGAGCGGGGGCAATTGCTCGCACTTCGGCCAATATGGATCCGAGAGGGCGACTCGACTGCCGTCTGCCAGGACGGTATATTAAATATGCACACGTTAATATAGAGTTGTACAATCTCCTCCTGCTCCTCTTCCTCCTGTTCTTCTCTCCTCTGTCTCCTCCCTTCTCTCTCTTTCTCTCTTCCTTTCTCCCTCATCCTTTCCTCGCCCTTTCTCGCGAAAGTAACGCGTATCGCGCCAAGTTTGCCTTATCGCGCGGGGGCTTGATATACGGCGCCGCGAGACGCATTTAGCGGAGCACGTTTCCAGAAACGTGCGCCACACTTTTTAAATCCCCGTATATTCGCGCGGAGATACGGCTCGGCGTGTTTCCGCTCCTCCTAAATTCCCGAACTCACGGGGAATAATTCAAGTGGAACGCTTGCCGCGGGACAAAGGGCGACTTTAATTATGTCGCCGATGCACAGCTGCATTTCACGCGACCTGGCGCGACGTTCACGGCCGTCGGCAGTCGTAATGTTACGACGTGCCGTTGTAACGAGAGATACGCACCATTTGGCGCCAACGACGCGTTCATACAACGGCGGTGGGGCACGATTATTATCCGCGGTTATCCTTGTACGGTTGATATCGTTGTTGCTTGGGACCTCGAGGGTTGGGGGAAGAGATGAATTTCAGGAAGATAGAACCGCAGTTGAATACCGTGCAGCAGGATCTCGATAAAATATCGTCTGATGTACGGTTCTGGTAGAATTTTACGCAATTAATTGGGCGATTATTGACGTATCATTGGACGTACAAGTAAAATATCAGTAATCTTTTATGAAATCGTGAGTTGATTCATAAAAGAAAATATATTCGTCGAAAGGACCTCGCATAAAACCTATGGAAAATGGTTTTCGGTCAAATTGGCTGAAATTTCACTATGTTATAGTTTTCGCCATGCTGAAAAGTTATCATTGCACCAAGTCCCAAAAGTCAATATTTCCCAAGATATAAAGAGTCAAAGTAGTGAAATATGGTCATCCGCAGTAGTAAAACGTATGTTATAAGTATAAGTGATACATTGATATTTATTCACGAAATAAATAAAAATCGATTTTTACATATATATATGTAATAAATATTTAGTTCCGCAATATATACGTATATGTATATAGAGGGTGGGGCAAAAGTATCGGACCGGTGAAATATCTCGAAAAATATAAGTTTTACAAAAAACTGTTTCAGATCTTAAAAAGATCTATTGTATTTACTGATTTTAGCAGATTGATCTTGGGTGGCGTTGCCAAGGTAAAAAATCAGTTGTTTTCACGGCTACTCACAATCAGTTGTTTTCACGGCTACTCACAATCAGTTGTTTTCACAGCTACTTATAATCAGTTGTTTTCACAACTATTCACAATCAGTTGTTTTCACGGCTACTCATAAACAGTTGTTTTCACAGCTACTCAAAATCCGTTGTTTTCACAGCTATTCACAATCAGTTGTTTTCACGGCTACTCACAATCAGTTGTTTTCACAGCTACT